CCTCTCTCTTTAGGCTTATCCTTCCCCCCACCCCCACCCCAACATGTAAACATATCAAGTCACCCTTTTCTGGCAAGAAGTCATTATTCAACAATATTTACCATGTACCTACTAGGTGCCTGATGCTGTGCAAGGCACTGGCACTGCCTGCATGAAGCTCTGATGAGGTAGTGAAAAAGATAAATTCATAGTCTGTTTGGCTCTGACACAAAATCTCCTATTATCAAAAGCTGTGTTATAAAACCAACTTTTCAAACTGGGTGAAAAAAAGTAAGGGGCCCGAAGAATTTCAGACTCAAATAATAAATTCACTGTTCCTGCAAGACTTTCAAGAAGGTGTAAAGTAAAAATTCTCATACCACTAAGCAAGTCCAATTTCTAGTTACATCTACTTTTTGCTCTTGGCAAAAGCTTTTCTTGGGGCACCTGCATGGCTCGGTTGGTTAAGCAGCTGACTTGATCTCGGCTCAGTTCATGATCTTGTAGTTCATGAGTTCAAGCTCCACACCAGGCTCTGTGCTGATGGTGCAGAGCCTGCTTGGGATTCTTTTTCTCCTTCTCTCTGCCTCTCCCCTGCTTGTGCTCTCCATCTCTCTCAAAACAAATAAACATTTAAAAAGTTAAAAACAAAAAAAAAAACACAAAGCTTTTCTTTTCCTAATCCAGTTAGCACTGCCGAAACAAAAAACAAAAAACACCACACACACAAAAACAACAAAAAACCTAACACAAATACCACCCTGTCTTGTGATCATCAAAGCAGAGAGCCCACTTAAACACTTTTCCCTACTCAAGTTAACAGTGGTTTGCTTAATGCAAATTTGTGTTCCCTAAATAATCACTGCTGCATTGCATCCAACACACTGCTATGAAAGGGGAAGTCATGTGATGCTATGGAGCATGTAACAGGGGATTATATCCTGCATGGGAGGGTCAGGAAAGCACCCCCTAAGGAAGTGAGACTTCAGGGATGAGTAGGAGGCAGTTAAGCAAAAGTGCGGGAAAAAGGGGAGAAGTTGTGCTAAGGCAAAGACAGCTACAATTATGAAGGCCCTCAGGGGAGAATGGTCATGCACTTTTCAAGGAACAGAACCCAGGGGAAAAGAGGGAAGAAAGTCATATGGGCAGGCAGGCCATGTGGTCTTGCAAGCCACAGAAGGATCTGAATTTTACATTATGAGCAATGGGAAACCACTGAAGGTTTTCAGTAGTGAAGGGACATAAATGTGCTTCATTTTAGCTACCTTCCCCACTCCATTGGTCAAGCTGAGCTTATTTAAAAAAACAGTCTACACTTGCTTGGTTGTACTTCTTCCCACCTTCTCTTCTCAATGCTCAGCATCTGACTTTGTACTCCACTGAAATTGCTCTCTTTAAAGATATGTTGGGGCTCCTGGGTGGCTCAGTCAGTTAAGCGTCCCACTTTGGCTCAGATCATGATCTCACGGTTCATGGGTTCAAGCCTTGGGCCGGGCTCTGTGCTGACAGCTCAGAGACTGGAGCCTGCTTCAGATTCTGTGTCTCCCTCTCTCTCTGTCCATCCCCTGCTCACACTCTGTCTCTCTCTCAAAAATGAATAAACATTAAACTTTTTTAATTAAAAAAAAAAAGGTATCTATTGATCATCAGTCCTTAAGTCAAAAGGCCCTTTCAGTTTTGACTTTGTGCCATCTGCTGCATGTGGCCCTCCTGACCATCAACTCCCTTCACACCCACCATTGGTTGTCTCCCCACTTCCATGGCTATTCCTCTCCACTCTTTTTAGCAAGCTCCTCTTTCTTTACCTATGCCCTTAATTGTTGTTGGTGGTCAAGATTTCTGTTGTTGGCCTTCAGCATTTCCAAACTCTCCCTATTTTCCCTGGAGGATCTCATCCACATCTAGGACCTCAAAGACCACCTATGTGCTCATGATTTCCAAAATGCTATTTACAGCTCAGGCCTCTCCTGAACTCCAAATTGATATATTAAACTATTTCCTTCCATTTTGATGTCTCACAGGTATCTCAAACTGAATTGAACAATTTCAAGACCAAATACATCTATCCCCCTCCCACTTCAAATGTGTATCCCCCCTTCCTTCATTCCTCCTGCCACTGCCTTAGTTCAGGAGGTCAACATTTCTCCTCAGGTTTATTTCAAGAGACTACTTCTCTGTGCTACTTGCCTACAGTTAGCCCCATCCATCACACTAGTAGAATGATCTTACTAATTTGTTGGTAGTCCTCATGGGATTTTATGATCTGTGCCTTTGTACACATTCCTTCCTTCTCTGGAGTACTAATTCTTTTCCCCTCCTTTATTCTCTACACCTGGCCAACTTGTCCTTCAAGACTTTGGTAAGGTCATCCCTTCTCCAGGAAGCATCACCAGAATTCCCAGGTGCACCCCTCTGGGTGACTAGGCAGCACCCTGTGCTTAACACTAGCTTTTGCATTTCTTACTTTATGTTTTCATCTTCTTACCTATTTACTACTCTATGGCAGGGTGGATCCTTGAGGCTGGGACGCAGTCTAATGCTGACACATAATAGATGTGTTACAAGTAAATGAGTGAAAATGGGGAATTGCAATGAGACCCTCAAAAGAACAAGTCCTAGAATGTGAACTCAAGAGAAGGAACTCCGTTGCATTCTCTGTTGAATCTCCAAGGCCCAAAGCTAGGGACTGGCACACCACTGATGCTCAATACATTTGTAGTGTGGCTGAATGGATATTCTAGAGTCAAAGGAAAATCTCTTCCTATACTTGCTTTCCATTACTAACTTTCTTGGTTCGTGATCTACGTTTACTGTAATAGCATGTATATTGCATGATTTCTTTTTTTTTTTTAATTTTTTAAAATGTTTATTTATTTTGGAGATAGAGACAGACAGAGCATGAACAGGGGGAGGGTCAGAGAGAGAGGGAGACACAGAATCCGAAGCAGGCTCCAGGCTCCGAGCTGTCAGCCCAGGAGCCCGACGCGGGGTTCGAACCCACTGACTGCGAGATCACAACCTGAGCCAGAGTCAGATGCTTAACCGACTGAGCCACCCAGGCGCCCCCCCCTTTTTTTTTTTTTAATTTTTTTTAATGTTTATTTATTTTTGAGACAGAGACAGACAGAGCATGAACAGGGGGAGGGTCAGAGAGAGAGGGTATATTTATTGCATGATTTCTACTGACCAAACGAGTGCTCTTCTCTTCCATTAGGAAAAAATAATAAGAGCAATGAACAACCCACTAAAGGATTCCTTGGCATGAGTCCATGGAAGGGTTTCCTGAACTCCTTGAAACTAAATGTGAATTTTCAGTGGATGTAAGAAAGTACATTTTTCTGGTGAGAGGGATTACAGTTTTCATTAAATTTTCAAAGATATTAATGATACCCCCATCCCCCCCCAAAAATCAAACTGTCTAACCAAAATGTTAAGCTGAATTAAGCTGCAGCATTCACCTTTCTCTTCTCAAAGCTGTATTTTGATATACTGCTAGCAACTTGGAAACAGAAGCTTCTATTTAAACAAATGTAACTGGAGAAGAGACAGCTGGCAGGCTCTCACATAAAGATTCCTACTAGAATTTGCATTTAAAATGTTCTATAAATGGTAAAGCCCTTACCAACATTCTTAAAAGTTAGTACTCTATTCTAACATACTCTGTACTCCTGTGAATCAGGGTATTTATTACACTTCCTGATAATGTGTTCAAGAAAATGTTACATTCTAATCATAATGACCAAGGAAACACTTTTTACTGTCATTTAACTAAATGAAATGGGGAAAAACCCAGGATCATCCAAATTTACAGGAAAACTTTTTTTTTTTTTAATGTAAAAAGAGTGAACCGAGCAGCAGGAGCAGCAGCATTTAACTCACCAACCACTCAATTCAATCTTGGGAATAATATGGTAATAATTAAACAGTACAGAACAAGCATCTAAATCATTTCAAAAGGCATAAAATCCTATTTGAATTAAAGGGTTCTCAAGTTGATCTAGCGAGTCACAAAAGAATTCAACTACATGATTCCATTCAGATGAATTTAACAACAAGCAAGATTACTGTATGGTGGTAAGAAATCAGAACAGTGGTCTCTGGGATGGAAGAAGGGCATGACAGCACCTTCGAGGTAATGGAAAAGCTCTTTATTTTGACTTGGGGCTTGCACAGGTATATACATTTAGAAAACTCGCTTAATCCCATGTATAAAATCTGTGTATTTTACTGTACGTTAACTATTCCTCAGTAAAGAAAATTTAAAAGAGAACATCCTTATTCTTTCTTTTAACTAACACAACCAAACCCTATTCTCGTGTCTGGAAGCTGTTTGTGGAGGACGACCCACGCGCTGAAGACACTGCGCTCTCTGAAAACACGATGACTGCTGATTCGCCGGGAGCTTCCGCCACCACTACGGTTAGGCACTGCCATTTCGAGAGGCCCCGGAGTCACCCACAACAACCGGGGCAAGAGCCGGCCGCGCCTTTGGAAATGGGTGCCGCGGTCCGCCTCCGCCCGCGCGGCCACAGAACACCTGGCCAGCGAAAAAGGTGTCCATGGGCAGAACCTGGCACCGGAGCGTGCGAGCGACCGCGAGGCTGCCGCCGGCTCCCCGCCGCCCGCCCGCGCCCCCCGCCCAAACCTCGCCAGGCTCCTCACGGCCCCCAGCAGCTTCTCGGATTGCCCACGGGTCTCACCGGTACTCCCCAGCCTCCCGGGGTCTCCCCTCCCCCGGCCGCGGAGCTCGTCCTAGCCCGCCACCAGGTGCCGCTGTGGAGCCGCCTTCGAGAACCGACTTTGCGCTTGCGCTCACGAAGAACACCCCCCCCCCCCACAATCTAAAGTCATTTTTTTCCAAAGGGATCAGAGACTCGGTCGGCGCACGCGCGCCCCTGACGCGGCCCGCGCTCCGCCACTTCCGCCCGGAGCAGAAGGCGGGGGAGGCGGGAGGGAGCCGGCGAGCGCGAGCCTGGGTCCTCGGCGGAGGACTGCGGCTGCTGCGCGAGCCCGTGACTCACCAAGTACAGCTGCTGCCAGCGATTCTCAGCATCCAACTCCTCAAACTCCCGCTCGACGGTGGCAGACATGGCGGCGGGAGCAAGCTGGCGCGAGCGGAGCCTGCGCCGGCGGAGAGGCTCAGGCCCCGCACGATCCGGGGAGAACGCTGGCGCTGCGGCGCATGCGCGCTCCGCACCCCGCCCCGCCCCCACGCCGGGCCCGGCCGGCCGCGGGGAAAGTACCTGGAGCGTCGGACGTCAGCGCGCCGACTCGCGCCTCCCGGAATCGGACGGCGGCGGGGCGGGGCGCCCTGGGGAGGCGTGGCCCATAGGGCGCCCAGGTGGAGGGGGCGGGGCCAAGGGGACCACCCTGAGGCTGTTGGGCGGAAGGTGACCCGCTCTCAGAACTTGTGCTCACCGGCCCGGGGGAGGTGAAGCAGTACCGCGAATTTCCCAGGAATGGAGCGGACCAACAAAATCCCTTGGGAAGACCTCCTTATTGCTGTCCCATTTCTCTTTTTCTCTTTACTCCTAATTTTTTTTTAATGAGAGATTGTCATTTTATTTTAAACGTCATCTAGGTCAGTTTAGCAGCCTGTGTCCAATTTTGAAACAAATTTCTCAGCTCTCACAAGAGAGTATAAACCAGCCCTGATGCCAGCTCTTGTATACCTGAGGGGTTTGTGCCAAATAAGCCACTATAGCAAAAGGAGAGGCAGCCTCTCCCGGAGTTAGGAAGAATACAGGTGGTTAAGTAAACGTGACACTATTAAAAATTAATGTTACCTATAAAAAGGACAAGTCATCTATTACAGCCCAAACATGCTGGTTATGGAAATCATCTCTTTTCAGGTTAAGGTAATTCATTGTTGGTAAATTCTAAATGCTTATAGTATCTTGTTATATCATCATAAAAAATGTGAAGGGTTAGAAAAATTTTAGCTATGCTGTCTAATATTGAAGTTTAAATTTTAATTAAAATTAAATGAAATGACAAAGACTCACACCTTGACCAAATTCTGTACAGGTTCCTCTGAGTACTTTTTCAACTAGGCCTTGACTTTTGGACTTTGTGTTTCTCTGCATTGTCTAATTTTAGCAAGAATCTTACTAAGCCAATTTATCCAGAATCCCCCATTCTCAATATCTGCTCACCCTGGACATTTAATCAGGTTCCTCATCTTCCACTATCCCCCAGGTGATGTCTGATCACCCTGACCTGCCTTCAGCAAGAATCCTATTAGGTTAGTCAGAATGTAGATTGTTTTCTGTGTTAAAAACAAGACAACAGTCCTAAAATGGAGTTGCTTCTTAAGCCCCCTGTCACCAAACCTACCCTTAATTACTGTTTTAGCTCTCCCACAAATGGGATCTTAAATGAGTCAATTAGGAGTCACCTGATCAGCACTAGTTAGGTAATCTGCCTAATAGACCGCTGCCAGCCTCTGAAGGAAAGTAACTTTGCAGTAAGCCATCTCCTTTTCTGCTTAGTATAAGTAATTTGTTCCTGCCCCCTCTGCCTCTAAAAGTTTTTCGATTTGTACAGCTCCTCAGTTTATCTACTTGATTGGATGCTGTCCCATTCAAAGTTGATTTCAATCTCTCCACCACTGCATAACCCATTGCAGTAGTCCTATACCTATTGCAATAGTCCCCCTCACTTTGAATAAAGTCTTCCTACCTCACCATTTTCAACAAATCTCATGAATAATTTTTTTTTCTTTCACAGAAGTTAAGAATTCAGTTCCTCAGTTGCACTAGCCACATTTCAAATGCTCAATAGCCATATGTACCTAGTAGCTAATGTATCACAGAGCACAAATATCATCAAAGTTCTATGAGACAGAGCTGCCTGAAAGGATTAAAATATGGGGCAAAAAAAAAGAGTCCTTATATACATAGTGAAAATTTTTATCAGTAAAGACAATACGCTGTGGGAAGTAGAAGAAATCATAGTAACAGAAAATTAAGCAGACAGCCAGCCTTTCTCCTTACATAGTGTAATTTACAAATAAATACATGAAATGTCCCTCCAGAAATATCCCACAATCTAATAGTCCTGGTTTCTAAGGTTCTGTCACTGAAACCGATTATGTTAAAGACATGGTATCTCCCAAGATTGTTGAGAGAGAAAAAGTTTTCCTTCTACCCTTCCAGTTTCTTTGGCTGGTTCTAATAATCAATATAAAACAGATTAACAAGAGAATAACAAGTTGGTTACCTGCATATGGGAGCCCCATAAGACCATGAAACTCAAGGACAAACCTGGCAATTGAGGCTTATATGCCATCTTAAGCTAAGGAATGGGATAGAGGTCAAGGGGTTCAGAGAGGAGGAGGGTGATTCACAGAACAATTAGAAAAGCAGAGAAGATATTTGGTAATTAGATGTTTATCCTGCCGTATGGGAAAAAAGTTATCGCTTGGTAAACTTCTCTTTCTGAGCCAAGCCCCCTATCTAAATTCTTTCAGGTAGTTTAAGGAGAGGTAAAAATTTTTCTTGAGTCTGCTGGGTTTTAAGTGCCTTCAGCTGAAAATAGTCCACATGCCAAAGTGGCACATTTTGGGGAAACTTGTCCTTTTTTGTTTTTAAGTTTATTTATTTATTTTGAGAGAGAAAGCACAAGCAGGGGAGGGGCAGAGAGAGAAAATCCTAAGCAGGCTCGGTACTGTCAGCACAGAGCCTGACTCAGGGCTTGAATTCATGAGCCATGAGATCATGACCTAAACCAAAATCAAGAGTCGGACACGTAACTGACTGAGCCACCCAGGTGCCCTTGGGGAGACTTGTTCTGAACCCCTTCACTCGTACCTTTGAAACTTCCCCAAGAAGTTTCACAGTCCAGAAGTTAAGCTGGTTGATTACTCCAGCTCAGTGAACCAGGCTCTTAGTCTTGAGAATAGGCCAGTTCAGTTAAACAGTTGTGTCTCATTTCAGGGGTGCCTGGGTGGCTTAGTCAGTTAAGCCTCAACTTCGGCTCAGGTCATGATCTCACAGTTCATGAGTTCAAGCCTTGTATCGGGCTCTGTGCTCACAGCTCAGAGCCTGGAGTCTGCTTTGGATTCTGTGTCTCTGTCTCTCTCTGCTCCTCCCTTGTTCATGCTCGCTCTCTCTCTCTCTCTCTCTCAAAAAAAATAAACAGACAAACAACAACAACAACAAAACCGTAGTTGGGTATCATTTCGAAAGACAGTGATTGAGGTGGGCTCCAAATATTAGGTCTATGGTACAAGCAATCACGTATTTAATAAGAGCCATTTTGGGGCGCCTGGGTGGCGCAGTCGGTTGAGCGTCTGACTTCAGCCAGGTCACGATCTCGCGGTCCGTGGGTTCGAGCCCCGCGTCGGGCTCTGGGCGGATGGCTCAGAGCCTGGAGCCTGTTTCCGATTCTGTGTCTCCCTCTCTCTCTGCCCCTCCCCCGTTCATGCTCTGTCTCTCTCTGTCCCAAAAATAAATAAACGTTGAAAAAAAAAACAAATCAATAAGAGCCATTTTGGTGGGGGGGGGGGAACAAAGGTTCATAATTGGAGCAGATTATAATCCCAGTTTCTGAATTCTGAAGGCAGCCAGGCAAGACTTCTAGATGTCCAGCTTGAAGCATCTTTGGATGGAGTGAGGGCAGGCAGTAACAATCTGATAGATTTTTCTGATTTGCAGTTTGAATGTCTCTGGTGGTCTTTCTGAATGGCGTGCACAGCGGTGGGCATGAAGATTATCTGTACATTAATGGTTGTGGTGATTTATCTGAAGTTTATATCAAGTTGTCTAGCTTTGGCTTGCATGGGTTCAGGAATAGGACAGTTTTAATTCTCAATGATTCCAAGTCAGAAGAGTGAGAGAAAATTGGAAATGTCAGTTTGAAGAGTTATAGATGAATTTTGGAGTAAATTAGAAGAATTCAGTCTAGTCCAGTTTATAGGTAGGAAACAAAATCTCAAAGACAATTAACAGCACTAGAATTTATATCCACAAAAGTATATTACTGAAACATAGTTTTTCCCTGTACAATTGCTCTCATTTTGATCAAAGATAATCACAGCAAGACTAATTCATCTGCAAAACAAATCTAGTTTCAATAAAGTTGGCCTGATTATTTACATAAGTACATCAAGGGTAGTAATTGACCACTAGGCTCTTTTAAATCTACTTGGCTGGGGCGCCTGGGTGGCGCAGTCGGTTAAGCGTCCGACTTCAGCCAGGTCACGATCTCGCGGTCCATGAGCTCGAGCCCCGCGTCAGGCTGTGGGCGGATGGCTAGGAGCCTGGAGCCTGTTTCCGATTCTGTGTCTCCCTCTCTCTCTGCCCCTCCCCCGTTCATGCTCTGTCTCTCTCTGTCCCAAAAATAAATAAACGTTGAAAAAAAAAATTAAAAAAAAAATAAATCTACTTGGCTGGACCTTTTCGTAAAGAATCTACGATTGGGTATTGAGGAGGGCACCTTTTGGGATGAGCACTGGGTGTTGTATGGAAACCAATTTGACAATAAATTTCATATAAAAAAAAAAAGAATCTACGATTGAATTTTTAAAAGCCTCTTGAGGCTAAGAAGCCACACCAAGGACTTGCCATAAGACTTTGCCTGCAATACCTAGAGATTTAGACAAATTCTCCTCTTGTCAAGGTCCCCAAAATATCCTGAAGTTCCTGTGCTTGCCCTGAAGTGACTTTTCTTACCTAGTAAGGCTTCTGGGAACCCTGTAAGTTGGTACCAGGCCAATTTTTACAATAGGCTTTATTGGCTCCATAAGGTCAACGTTAGCTCCTTAAAGCTATCTGGTTGCATCTATTTATATCTCTCTCAAATACAATATTTAGTTAAAGCCTTGGTATTTTAACCAATGTTTCCAATTGTGTCCTGTTACAAGGAGAATAGATTCTTATTGAACTTACGTCAATAACTATATTGCATGAAAATAAGAATACTCATTAAGAGTTTTTGAATTCTGGAGGGATCCAGTAGGGAGAAAAAATAGAAAATTTTCAGCTCTACTTACAAGGAGATAATTTACCAAATTTCTTTTTTTGTTTGTTTATTTATTTACTTAGAGAGAGAAAGTGAGCAGGGGAGGGCAGAGAGAGAGGGGGAGAGAAAGAATCCCAGAAGGCTTCACACTTCCAGTGCAGAGTCTGATGCGGGACTCGAACTCACAAATTGTGAGATCATGACCTGAGCAAAAGTC